AATACAACAATAACAAATTCATTCATAAACGCATGCGCATATTCTTCAAGGTCAAACTCATTCATTCATAATTCAATGACCATACTTCTCCCCGCAAACTCATCGCCCACAAGCGCAACTTCTGCGCGAGGGCCACAAAAATTCTAAAATGTAAAATTGAAGAAATCACAGCCAGTCAAATGAAAAGTTGCAACTCAGCAGTAAAATTTGAGGACGTTTGCAAAAATAACTTATCTCGAGTTAAGACATATATTCTGTAAACTTCTAAATCGCAGTGGTTTTCCAACTTTTAAGATATTAATTAGTCGTTTAAGATTTTATTTTAATAAAAAACAAAATAAACATGCATTTTTTGCACAAATGGCCCCGGATATTTTGATGTAANTCCACAGACGTTTTTAACATTTTTTGTGTATCTTCTCTGTTCAATATGTTGCGTGTGGTTTGTAAGATGTTGCGAATGATTGTGGGTGCATGAAACAAATGTGTAAATGCACGTCTTTCTTTTTCGCAGCATTGATTTATTTACAATAAAGGTTAAAATTGCTTATATNCTTTGCATTATTGATAATTGCGAAGCTACGAAACATGTATAAGTGAGCGTATACATACAGACCTATTCTGCGTTGGTAAATTAAATTTTGTTTACTATCATCAAAAGCGACAAACACAAAAAATCGTACATTAACAAGCCCATTCTGCGTTGGNAGTTAAAATTGCCTATATTTTTTAGTTATATGAAAACTTTTGTTCGAAGATATGCTTTGATTGCAAAACGTAGATATGGTAATAAATATGAGAAAATTATGCAATTGCCAAACTCATTGATTTGCTGTCGGCATTTCAATTGGGGCTTTTGGTTGAAAAAAGCGACTTTTTCTTTTTTACCGATGTTCTCTTCTTTTGTGTTTCCAATTGAAATGGTATAATTGCGCCAAAAAAGGCAATAGGCCAATAGGTTTCAAAAAATAAAATTTCCGTTGAAAGCTATACATATGTGAATGTATCATGTAAATATATGTACATATGTACACAATTTCTCCTTTTGTATGTTCCAATTGAACTTGTATAATTGCGCCAAAAACGGCGATAAGCCAATAAGTTTCTTGATAGATTTTCCGCTGAAATGTATACATATGTAAATATATCATGTAAATATATGTACATATGGACATAATTGCGCAAAATATTCATATCTCTTTGAGATTTTGCGCTAGTCGGACGTACTTTTATCGATTTTGCTCGCGAAAGATAGTTTTTCTAAAAACTCGCTTAAATAGAATGCCGGCTATTCGGAAATGTCGCGTTCGCGGCTGCGTCAACAGCAGCTCATCCCACAAGATGTTTGGATTTCCACAGGAGCGCCAGCTGGCCAAGAAGTGGAAGGAGAACATGGGACTCACGCTTCTGGATGACCTGCCCCGAACGAATGCATACCTCTGCGATGTCCATTTTGAGAAGGAGGCGGTGGGAACCAAACTTCTTCGGAAGGATGCGGTTCCCACCCTTCATATGGGTAAGTGTCTTTTAGTGAAAAATGTTGTGAAATACATATGTGTGTATGTTATATGTATGTACATACGTATATTTAAGCAAATGTGCATACAACAGTGCTCATATAAATAGTTGTGCAAACGTGTAAAGTGAAAATAGTGTTGAATGTGAAAAATTAGACAAACGTTGCTATAGTTTATTGAGCATAGTTGTGTGTGCATGTGCGTATGAATATGTGTATATAAGGGTTGTGGGGATAAGTGGTGAGAGTTATTCAGTGCAGTGCGTGCATATCAGCAAATTTATACCCAACAAGCATTTCTGTAAGTGTTTTTAAAAGTAACTGAAAGTAAGCCTACTGTATTGAGTGTTAAATAACCGTTTTTAGTATGAATTTAATTTAAAGCTTAAAGTAATAATATAAATTAATGTTGAAAGCGGACTTTTATAAATGGCTTAGCATTAAAAGTTAAACGCAAACCGTTTTTTAAGCTTTGTCTCTATTTTAGTGAACTTTTAAAAAACCTACATTAAGTTTATTTTGCTTGTTGGGTATGTTCATATCGCTCGTTTACATAATCTCGTTGTCATAAACCAAAATAATACAAAATCGAATTAAGTATGTATGTAGATATGACCTGTTCTTTTATTTTTGTGTAAAAATTTCATAGTTGTGTTGATTAATAGTTCATTGGAGTAAAATGCGCCTTCATGTTAATTGTAATTCAAAACTTAATAGCTGTTTTTCTTGAGTTTTTGGCTTCTTGAGTTATGATTAGGGACGGAAAATAATCATTATTTTTTAACTTTTAACCAAAAAAATCAAAATGCTGTAAGCATTGTAAAACAACTTTAACTATTCTCACATATTTGTATTCGTACGTTCTACTGTAATCTATAATGGTTTTTAATTTTTTGAGTTTAACCAATAAAAATATGTGCGACCGAAAAAATAAAAATCAAATAATAATTTTTTCCTTTGAGCAAAAAAGTAAAATTCATAAAATAATGATTGAATGCCGATTTAAGATATTTTACTTATAATGATTACCGTCCCAAGTTATGATAGTATTGAATGAAGTAAACGAGCAATGTGTTGATTTGCGATTAGAAAATTTTGTAAGCAACTTAATAGATACATATCGAGCCCTAACCGCCAAAATAACGTAAGCGACATTTTTTTCAAAATTTTATTTTTGTTGCAGAAATATTCCTAGAGCATTTATATGCATTTCTGCATCAAAAATAACATTTCGAAAAAAATGTCGCTTACGTTATTTTGGCGGTTAGGGCTCGATATATATGTACATACGTAATAAAATTAAAATGAATTTACATGAATAGTCTGGGAAAAATTTATTTTATTTAGATTTACATAGATATTTAACAAACTTTTTATTGAAAAAAAATAAAGATTTTAAAAAAATTAAAAGCTTACAGCCAATTTCACGAAAGGCATTTAGTAAATTTTTTTTTTTTAATTTTTTTAATTTTATATGGAAATTCAGATTTTTGTCAACAATATGGCTGATGGTTGCCTCGAAAGGAATCTGTCCGTGCAATTTTGATCAAACATTTATTTCAAGTTCGAACTTTTTTCTATGTAGTTGTAGTTAAGATAAGGTATGCACATGCGTGTATATAGTAGTTTTGTATATAAGTAAAATTCGAAACTTGAAATAAGTAATGAAATCAAAAGTCCACCGATAAGTATGGTTGTTCCAAGTTTTGGTATATGTTTAAAAATGCGTGCAATGAAACATCATTGTAGGTTCTGAACGAACTATACCGCATCCTTACCAGCCAAGCCTAGTTAGAAGAACTTGCTGCGTCGCAAGCTGCACTTCGGACAGGAAGAGGAAGATTTTCGAGTTTCCCAAACCTGGGGTTGCTCGCAACGAGTGGGCTATAGCTTGCAACTTGCAGTTGCCCTTAAATCCCGATCAGAAACTTTTTATTTGTGAGCTTCATTTTCACAAAGATTTTGTTTCGCCAAAACGGCTGCTGGATGGAGCTTTCCCTGTCTTCAATTTAAATGAAGAAGATCCTTCATTTATGCCATCAGAAGATGAAAATATTTCCCCTTCTGATGTGGCCATTCCACAGCTTGAGCGTACTTACTGCGATCCAAACGAGACTTCCGACTTAACGTTTGAAGAATTTGCCCTCTTTTCCGACCTTCAATACAGCAAGAAACCTTGCGAAAGTATTGAAGATGTCGAGGGCCCTTCACACACTGAAGTTGAACATGAGCAGTGTGCGAAGATTTCTCGAGGCTACCAGCAAAATGAGAATAAGCTTAGAATGAGAATAAAAGAGCTTGAGGCCCAAGTGGAAGATTTGACTCGAAAATTTAAGGATTTGCAAGAAAGTGTTATCATTCCGGCAACAGACGCCAGCATACATGCTGTAAAATTTGCTAGAATGATTGTAAATACGCGTCAAAGCTATAACGAAGACTAAAAAATTTTGGCACAGAACATCAATTACATGTCGACGAAGTCATATAACTTCATGCGCGACGACTTATTGTTTGCGTTGCCCCACAAAAAAACCCTTTTGCGTTGGCGTCCCATACGTTCTGTAGCTCCAGGCTTCGAAAAGAAAGTCCTTAATAACTTAGAGCAAATAGTGAAAGACATGTCTCCAAATGAACGTATTTGTGAAATCCTTTTTGATGAAATAGGCATCAAAAACGACTTGACGTACAACGCAAAAAGGGACATAATAGATGGCTTCGTCGACTATGGTGGTGATAATAACCGTGAGCCCATAATTGGCAACAAATGCCTATTTTTTATGATTAAAGGCATCATATCGAAATGGAAATACGTACTATCGTATGTAGTTGGCAAAGACGCGGTTAAAGGTCCCACCTTCGTTAAATTGTTCCATGAAAATATAGATGTTGCCCAAAAATTAGGCCTTGATGTCAAGGCTGTGGTCTGCGATCAGGGCCCTTCAAATGTACGGCTTGCTTCTTCTCTGAATATTTCCCAAGAAACCCCATACTTCATTGAAAATGGTAAAAAAATTTTTTTTCTTTTCGACTATTGTCACTTGACTAAGTCCATCCGCAATAACTTATTAAAATATGATTTCAAAACAATGGATGGCATCGCAAGTTTCAAAGTCATTAGAAAGCTGTACGCTATTGACAAAGCCAATGTCAATTTCAAGATTTGCCCCAAACTGACTGATTCCCATGTATATCCCGGTAATTTTGACAAAATGAGCGTCTCCAGAGCTACCCAAACCTTTAGTAACTCTGTTTCAGCCGGAATCGAGATGGCATACGATCAGAAACTGTTCGGTTCTGATTCGTATGTCATCAACTGCGCAAAACCCACTGCAAAGTTATGCAAACGTCTTAACGACCTCTTCGACGATCTAGATGCTAAAACCCTATTTAACGAAAACCCCCTTAAGCGCCTTATGTGTTCTCTGACATAAATGCTTATGAGTCATAAGCAGGGTTGCCACTGACGAAAAAAATATTTACCATCCACTTGAAAAAAATCTACCAAATCTGGGAAATATCTACCAATCACTTTTTTATAATTATTTTAATAAAAACTATTGTTTTGTTATTTTTTGATTTATTTTAATTAAAACTATAGTTTTTTTTAGTTATTTCAATAAGGAATTAAATTTGTTTTTAAGAACTTTTTATTTAACTAGTTATGCGGTATTTGAGTAGTATTATTGGCTTATTCTCAGTTTCCTTTAACCAAAAGCGGAATTGATGAAACTAAAGGCAACAATGGGTAGGTTCAGAAGACGCAGCAGTTGAGCGCAACCGTTTCTGCGTCTTCTGAACGGCTTGATGCATTAGCTGTCAAATTCAACTCTTAACAACATATTGTCTCAAATGACCAGAAAAACATTACGATCATCTAACACGCAACTGTTCAGTTGATCAGAAGTACACACAACGCGTTCAGAAGGTAAAACCGCAACAGTTACTGACCTGTTGCGCCTTCTGAACGTGCCCAATTGAACTTCATTATTTGAAAAACTTCAACTCGAGTTATTATAGACAAATACAGTGACTGAAAAAAGTGATTTTTTTAATATTTGCAATATTTTTCGAGAAAATTTTGTTTATTGCTTTAACTAAATCCATAAAAATCGAGGATTCAAACTATATACAACATATAGAAAAGTTCCAAAAATTTTCGTCTAAATTTCGAATTTTTTACTCTGAATTTTTAGAACAATTTAAGGTATGGAGTTTTAAAGCAAATACTATTTGAGTATAGCCAACAATGTGCTGCTTAAAATTTTCGTTGATTTTAATTTTTTTTTCATTGATAAAAAATGGCGTTGATTTAATTTTTCTGCGAACAATCATAGTGCGTAATTACATACCTGTTAATTTTTTCTTTATATTTAAATAATCATTTAAAATATTTAGGCAATCAAAAGCTCCTCGGGATTCCAGTAAAATTAGTTTTGAATGGAGCGCGATAGGTTCGCCTTATATCGATATACATTTATACGTATGTATGTAATTACATAAAAAGTAAGCAAAGAAATTTATAATATATTTAAATATAACTACGAAAAATAAATCGGGAACGGAAAGTTCATCAAAAATCTACCAAAATGAGAAAATATTTATGTACCTTCTTACCAACCTAAATTTTTTCTACCAATTTTGGTAACAATTTAGCAAAGTGGCAACCCTGGTCATGACTTTAATACATATCTAGGTACAAGTACAAGAACATACATACCTATGAATGTACAATTAAAAGTACATATGTACATATGCATAGCAAAATACTGGGAATAGAACTCCACACTAGGTTTTCAGGTTTTTAGCGCCCTATCTTAGTTACATATATGTATGTATGTATGTACCCTAATTTAACAAATGGCACATAATACCGTCTCATACATATTCTGGCTATAGGACCAAAGATATTACTCTTAATTATTTTGGCCACGGAGTGACTATAGAGATCTTAGAAGTATGTATGTATGTATGTGCAATTATATACTTTAATTTGAATATAATTTGTAGATAATAACAAATACCGTTCAGATGATTTGCTAAACTGATGAATTTATATACCGATGCACATAAGTAGGTACATAAAATATTTTGATGTTTACATGCTATATCAAAAAAGGTTCCTCCAGAAAATATTTTATGGACTTTCTTTGCGTTGGGAACGTATTACTTATATTGGTCCAAGCAATAACCCGTTATTTGGTCTGAAATGCAGTCAAAGACGTCGAATGCCAAATCGCAACTTTCTCCTCGCTCAGGCAATTTGCGACGATTCACCTGGTACTTGATGGTCACTGCCCGCAGACAAAGGTTCACAGAACGCAAAGTAGCCATGAAGAAGCCATGTTCGTTCACTCCCTCCGAATAAAAGTCCACTAGGCCGTCTAGTGTGGGCCATCCGAATCCGTCGATTGCGTTGTTTTTCGCATAGACACAGTGCAGTAGGCACTGAAATAAAAATAAAATTATTGATGAGGCTCTCTTATAAAAAAATGATATCAAGCTCTTAAACAATTAATAAAGAGCGTGATCACTGATCAGTGACCACCGATGGAACCTTTTTTAAATTTTCTTATTGTGTGTAGTAACTTCTAAAAGCACACAAATTATGGCGAACTAGTAAAAAACGTGTGAATTTGCGGGCATTGTTTGTTTTGTTTTGATATTAAAAGAACCATGAATTTTTTTTTGTAGCAATGATCATTTGCGACTGCCTCTTTTTAAGAGTCGCTTGCATGCATTTCTATCACTAGAAGTCAATGGAAAATGAAGATAGCGGCAAAGGTCTTACGAGGCAAACGGGGCTATAAAAACTCACATATCGCACACCGTCTTCAAAAGAGTCACAACACAAAATTTGGCATTTTTGAGATTATGCGCTAGAAATGTACACAGAGCTTTTCGTTACCTTTCTGCAACAGCTGGAGCAAATTTTTGTTATAATTTGTTAAAAGAACCAAGGTAAAGTCGCCCTTGCCCATATGATTAGGATTTGCTACGAACAAGTTTTTCGAATTTTCTGACGAACCTATTATTTTGAGTTGTGACTCTTTTGTAGACGGTGTGCGATATGTACATATGTACCATGTACATACATACATACATAAGTATGAACGCGTATGTAGGACGTTCGGTAATTCCCGTTTTCAAAAATTCTAAATCTGTGACGCGATTAATCAAATAAAACATAAATACACCCGAAAACTTTCATATATGTACATTAAAGTGGTCCAAAAATGTATGTAAAAAAAATAAGGTGGATTTTTAATGCCGCTACCCCCTAGGATTGTTCTTTATCGAAAAAAATATACCCCTATATTTTTATTAAAAAAAAGGAAGTCTCCTGAAGAGAACCACAGTTTTCCGATTGAAAAATATTGATTTTTAAGAGTTTTATACCATTTCTACGAAAAATGGGTTTTTCTCCATATAAAATACATGGAAAACTTTGGTTGCTTTGAGCACCCCCTAAATATTTTTTGATTTCAAAATAAAAAATAGGGGTATATTTTTTTTCGATATAGAACAATCCTAGGGGGTGCCGGCATTAAAATTCGAACTTAATTTTTTTGGACCACTCTAATGTACATACATATCGTCGTTTATAGTACAAAACCGCGTAACTGACATTTTTTTTTTTGCCAAAAATTGGACTTGCTCACACAAGCTCTTGGCTCAATCCTTATCCATTCATCCTGAAATATACTAGCCAGAAATGCGATTGCCTTATAAAAAAGAGAACCATTTTGAAATATGAATGCTTTTACTCTCTAGAAAATAATTTATGTAACCTCACATACGCGGTTTTGCATTTTGTTGATACGCGGTTTTGTACATTAAGCGGCGATATGTGTGATATACATAGTATATGTATGTATGTATGTGTGTAGTTATATTAGACTGCGCTTTACTTGTATGCAGAAAATTGTTTGTTAGGCTACAAAGCAAGACTCCGCTAGAAATGTGACTTTGGTTATAAAAACACGGATAACGGAAAGACGCGGCTCAAAGGCCCTAAAAATTGACAAGTGTCAAGTCATTTGTCTAAATTGTATACATTTATTATTTACTTAAAGAAATAATAAAAACGAAACAATTGATGCAAGAAGGGCACAAGGGCTAAATTATGACGAAAGTGAAAATAGCGGTGATAGGTTACCGTCAAATGCTCTTGTACCCTAATACATAGTTATTACATCGTTCACAAAAAAAAAAAAAAAAATCAATATACTCCCGAAACTAGGGCCAATAATAGTAAAACTACGCTTTTAGTATTTTCCTCTGAAGTCAGGATTTTTATTAAAAGAACTTTGAAATTCTAAAGATATGATTGATTCAAAAAATTATTTAAAAAATTCAGTGCAATATGGGTATCATATAAAAGAGAAAATTCTGTAGAAATAAAACAGTTTAAATCTTTTGGTGCATAAGGACTAATAGGTACCGAAAAAGTTCTTTTAAAAATTTACCTTTGAATATCCTTAAACTTTGTAATATGTATTTTTGAAAAATTTGTATGTTAAGGACGAATATACACACGACCCCATCCTCGAATTTTACCCGGGTGAAAAAAACATAATTTTTTTCTTTAATTCTCCACAATTTTCTCTTTCATTTGGTATCCACATTATTATCCTACATCGCAGTAATTTTTTATAATTGTTTGAATTAATCATTGAAATTGTTTTTGAAATTTGAAAGTCCTTTTAAGAAGCTCCGAGACAAAAGAAAAAACTAAAAACGCTAAAATTTTTTTGATATTATTTTTATAAAAACTCCACAAGTTTTTTTCTTAATTTTGAACTTTTTAATCAAAATTTTTTAGAACACATGCATGGAAAAAAAAGCAAAATGCCGTCAAAAAATTTTGAAAATCAATGCAATTTTTTAGCCGCTCGAAATTTGCACTTATTCTACTAGATTTTTATAAGGCTGTTAACTGCATACCGAAAAAGTGTTTAAATGTTGCATACCAAAAGAATTAAAAAACCCGAAATTTAGACAAAAATTTTTGGAATTTTTCTAAGTTCTGTATAACGCTTGAAAGTGTGATTTATATAGTTTTTGTTGAAGCATGAAATTCTAGTTTGAAAAACATTGTAAATATTAAAAACGAAACACCATTCATCCATTTTTGACCGCCACTGTATGTATGTGTGTGTACATACATATTTATGCAAAAAATCTTGTTTTTACTCAATGAATATTATCGGCTAATTGAACCGTGAAATGAGTGCACCTCGGCTACACTCGATATCGCTCATAAAGTCAATTGATATTGGTGATATCGATATTAACCGAAAAAAGATCGGCTGATTAATAAATCAATCGTTAAATGGCGGTACTACATCGATATTAATGTTTACTGGTGGTTAAAAATTATGTGGTTGTGAATTGACTTTTAAGTATCAGTAATATTTTCAGTAGCCAGCATAAATTTAATGGCAATGCAAATGAAATTTCGCTATAATTTTCGGTAATCAGTTAAATTTTACTAAAACTGCAATGTGTACATTTCAGAATAAATTTAGGAGCTTTAAGCTTTTTTTTATTATTCCTATATCTGTACACAGCACATTCATATATGGGGGGTGTTTCCTGCGTTACGGACGTTCCGTTTGGAGACACTTATGTATGAATGGTTCTTAGAACAATAAGCAGCCATAACCATTGCGTCAACTTAAACCAAATATCCAACGATGCACATAGGGGCATTTGAACGATTTAGGCGGCCAAAAATCATTTTGACAAAATTTTGAAGAAAAAGAAATTAGTCACATTCGATAGAGAACATTCCAAATAACATTTCCCAGTCCACCTCCATTTTCTAACTTCCACAGCGAACGCTCACCGTTGACCGGAAACAGAATATTATAAAGCTGCTTATAAATAAATTTTCGTTCTCTAGAAAGATCGTTTTAAGTTAATATTTAGATTTCTGCACTGTATTCTTAAAAAGTAGTGATGGATCCGCATACAGATGGTGATAATGCATTTAAATGTTGAATTTTTTTTAATCATTTTGTTAAGCAAAGGTGCAATTTAAATGTAACGAAAAGAGCGATTTACAACGAGTATTTTTTTTTTTAATTTTTGTTGAATATTAAGGAATTTGTCGTATCTCCGGGAGAGATCGCTTTATTATTCTTTATTCAATTGAAAGCCTGGAAATTTGGCTAATGTAGTGTGAAAAGATTGCCCGCAGAATATGACAGATAAGTGGTATTTATTTACAAAGAAAATGTATTAAGGAAAAATCTAAAAGCGCAACTAGTATATGGGAACACTACTTTAGATCTATTTTAATACTAAAACTAAACTTTTTAAATGAATTTTAGGCCGCTGAACTAGAATATGAATCCATTTAATTTAAAAAATAAATAGTTTTCGAGATATTAGCGAAATTCATGTTTTCGGTCCTGTTGCTAGAAATCTGCGGGAATGTAAGGCGAACCCAACTATGTTATGTATTTCGGAATGAACATTTGTTTTCCTTTATATTGGCGTTATATAAGTGATGATTAAAGCAATAGTTTTGGGTATACAAGCGTTTAAATTTAGATACATTCCAATTTAGATAAATCTACGATATTTCAGCAAATATTGTATCCAAATTGTTGAAAATTGGTATGTGAAGTAAAATTTTGGAACAATATAGGATTATTATTTTTAAAATTTTTAGTGAATGGGAGTGGCCCCGCCCACTTTCGATGAAATGCTGTATCTCAGTACCTATCCGCTTCACTAATCCGTATCAAACTCGGTATGAGCCTTGCTTAGGCTATATCTAACGTAAGCGCTAAAAATTCTTGAAATCGGGCAATAACCACGCCCACTTCCCATATAACGGTAATTTACAGAAACGGGAAAACTGCGATAAATCAATAACTACTGAAGCTAATTCACTCAAAATCGATTCTTGGAATAACTTCAACACAACCACAATGTATATCTCTCTCTTTATCAATTTGTACCAAAGTCGGTGCACTTAATACCTTTGGTATAGAAAAGCAATACGTTGAAAAAACGGAAACTCCGATAATTGAGTAATTGAGGACGCTAATTTACTCCAAAGTTAATACATACAATATTCTCTTAACAATTATTACAAAAATGTAGTTTTATTACATTGCGTGCGTTCGAGCTACGTAATAATTACGGCAATATTGCAGACTTGCTTTCCTGATGACATGGCGCTGATGCTCAACTGAGAATTTTCTAAATGCTGCAGAAATTGCGCAGTAAAAATTTGTATGTTGCTTTTGATTTTCCAATGACGAGTAAGTGTTTGTCAAAATTTTGTTCCTCGAACGTTGCTGTAGGCAGAGTCGCCCAAATTTTCGTGTAGAACGTGGTGCTCTTTCATAAAAATTAACACTGCCGCATTAATTGCACTTCGAAAACACTAATTTCTTACCTATACTGTGATACATATTTGAATTAATTAATTCCTTAAATTAAAGTTGAATTTGATTTTTTGAACCCAGGTCGATTGCTTAGAGATAAAGCCTTTTCGAACCCATTTCCATTGATAACCATATTGCAGCAATTCATTTAGCTAATTGAACAACAATTTTTAACAGGTGGCAACTCTTTTAATGTTTTAGCCTATATTTACTTGATTTTAAACATTTACAATTCTATATGTCAAAACACGTCTTTTCTAAACATTTCGACTTGAAATATTCTTAAAAATAATTTGGGCCGCATAAATCGGCTAAGTACCCCTATGTGCGATGTTTAATAGCTATAAAAGCTGTGCAACGTTGTTCGGACGTTCCCGTTCGGGCGTTCCGATTTCAGCCAATGAGATAAAATTTTTGTTTAAGAATTTAAAAACACTCGTTTTTTAAGGCGAATATGAGGTTTTATTGTAAATAATACTAAGCAGGCCTGAGTGGCTAGTGGGTGACAGGTAACAAGATCAATGGAAATAAGGTCAATTAACACTATTTCGCATACAAGTGCGAAATAAAGTCAATTGACATTATTTCCTTTCCAAAAGCGAAATGAAGTCAACAAAAATTTGGCGTGAGCGCTGCGCGGCACGTCAGGGAGCGACGCGGTGGTGTGGCGCGCGGACGCGGAACGCCGCGAAGCTACGCAGATTTAATGTTTGAAAGAGCAATAATGTCAATGGATTTTATTTCGCTTTTGAAACAGTATGCGAAATAGTGTCAATTGACCTTAATTCCGTTGATACTGGTCTGCTAGCATAAAATTTTGCTTTGCTAATATTTGGACATTGAATTCGTTTTTAAAAAGCTAATATGCTTCGTTTACTGTCAAATCCATGTAGCGCTTTGCTACAGGCAATTCTTGCTTACTTAACAATGTTCCTTTTCTTACTGCGGCTTGTAAAATTTTCATTAATTTAGGGTCCTCATTTTCCCATTGTGCTTCCTCATTTTCACTATCATATTTGTCTCATAAATTTTTCTTAATGCATTTTCAACTTTTTTGTATGGCTTTATTGCCTACTTTTATACTTGCGAAAATTCGAAGAAACTAATCCCTGTTTTTTGTTTTCAATGAATCTTTTTTTGCTCAGGTTGGTCGCATCTTGGTGCTTTTTTGCCCCGATATAATCATTTTTAATTTGTCTTCCATAGTTGTTTACTTTCGATCTCCCTTTTTTATATTCCGCCCACTTTTCTTCATCTTTCTTCAAATTTCGTCTCCACTTCATTGCTCTCTCAGCCGTCATGAAGCCATGTCTTCGTACCAGCAGAAATGAACAAAAATTATTTGAAGCGTTCGGACGTTCCGATTTTCAATTTATTACAGTAATCAGTAATCCTATAGCTTTTCGAATAAAATTTCATGCGACTGGTAAGAGTAACCAAAACTAGCTTTTGTATTAAAATTAAAAAAAAAAATCACAGTTTGTAATTTAACTTTAGACGGTTCCTAATATTTTAGTTTACGGAACATAAGCTATACTAGATTTTTGTATAGAGCTCCAAAACTTTTTAATCGTGTGCCAAAATTATGTAGGCTTTCTGGAAGGTATGATTTCTCCGAAAAAAAAAAAATGTTTGAAAAGGAAAGGTGCAAATATCTTGAAATAGAATGGACCAATTAGTCCAATATTTTGGTGAATGAAAGAAAAATTAGTAGTTGTCGATTGGCATCTATAAACTTTGTCCAGGCAAAATTTTATTTTTTTGCTCTTGGTTGACACTTTCCAGGAAATACCCATATGCAGTAAGTATATGCGAGTATTAAAATTATGTAAACCTTGGAATTATAAAGAAGAATACTTACGCCCGCTATCCGTTTGTCCTCGAAAGGCACCAACGTGGGATGATAAATAATGTTGGTGGGCGAGTCATGTGCGATACGACGAATATGATGCAGTAAGCGAGTCACTCGTCGTTTGGATGAATCAATTTCATAGGTATCGTAACCCGACGGCAATTCAAAACCCGCATTCGAAGATGACGAATAAGCTGACACAGTAGAGCCACCTGACACCTGACCTATGGCTTCATGTGGCGCTGAATCGGACACATCTGTCATAAACTGCATGTGGTCTTCATTGGCATCCAAAGGTTGATAACCTTTGTACACTTCTTCTTTTAGCATTTGATAGGCCTCTACGGGAAGTGGTTTTTGTTGTTTGATTGAAATCTAAAAAAAAAAACAAAGATTTTCCGAAAAAATTCTTACCTCTTATAAGTTTGTTCTTCACGTCCTCTTGGCATTCCTGTATGACAGTTTCTACACGCCGTGCAGTGCGTGGGGGGTTCAAACACCTGTTTTTCTATGAAATAAGTGGTCAACAACAAGGAATAAAACTCGAAACAGTTTTTTTTTTTTTAAATTCACTTTGTCGTTGTACCTTTGCTAGGTAGTGTCCTTGTGGGCTATTCGTATAGGTGGCGACCTTGGATATAAGGGCCAGTGCAATGGATATATGATAAGCTGCAATACTTTTCATGATAACTTTTTTTGACACTACGTTTTGTTTTTTTTTTATGGTACTTGGCAGTGAGGCGGCATGTAACTAACAACCTCAACGGACGAATAACTCGACTTGAATGAAAATGAAACGAAATTCAAGCCATTATTCAATGTCGCCCCTAGCAGCATCCAACACCCGGAGCTGCACTTAAAATTCACTTTCTACCACATACTTATTACACTATCAACAGCAATGGTGTTAACATTGGCAGTGACAATAGCGGTTTCAATGTCAATGTTGCAACGCAAATCGCAACGGCCGCAAGTATTGCCGACGCGTAGTTAGTTACATATGTTGTGCTGCAACTTTGCTACCGGTTAGATGGACCTGTTGTCGCTTGCTTCAGGTGAAATTGCTGCAGATGTGATGTATTGGTATACATACATATGTAATTCGTATAACACCCCAATACATGGATGATGGTTGCACACATACTGTAATTCAAACACAAAACACACATACTTACATATTTGAACCCGTGAGAAATATGCACGTAGCATTTAAAGTCTGGAGATTAGCTGGAGTATAATGAACCTTTCGAAAACAGACCCTTGGAGCCCGTAACCTCAATATGCCCATCAAGGTCTCATGCAAACATTTCTTCTAAATAGTTAAAATAATAAATCGAGTGGTGTCTTCGAATAAAGCCCATCTCCAGATTTTAGCTGTTATTCTTTATGATCCTATTTAAAACTCCAAGAATCATCGCAAGTTTTAAATTCATAAAGGACCTTAGGTGGATGAGGTTCTGTTATGCAAAGGGATAAGACGTGAGCTCTTTATTTATAAGTGAGATGTTAAGTGCATACATATACATACATATACATATGTACATATACATATAAATGATAGGTGCCTTTTTCGTATTTTTGGTTTTGTTGACTGAATTGAAATATTAAAAATAAATATTTACATGCCTACAAACTAAAAATTATTCTCGTAATAACATCCCCGGAAAATGGTACCACATTTTTGCAGTTCCATTATTAGATTCCCGAAACTTCTTTAACGGCGGTTGGTTGATTGGAAGTATTTGGCAAATTCAGGGGAAATTGCACACGGAAATGGTGCAACGGAAATGATGCAACGGAAATGGTGCAAATTAAATGGTGCAACGGAAATGATTGGGGCTGAAACAAATGCTTCTTGAGTGTATGGTATTAATTTAACAAAAACTTGCTATTAAAAGGTTAAAGAATAAACCTTGGAAAAATACCAATATTTTTATCGATTTTGTTATCGAAATTTTTATCGATATTGTTATCAATTATGCTATCGATATTTTCGGAACTTATCGATATAATAATCGATATTTTTATCGATTTGTAGTCGATATTTTTATCGATTTGTTATCGATTTTGCAATCGATATTTTTAACTATTTTGTTAGCAATATTTTTTGTCGATTTTGATATCGATAATCATCGATTTTCTTATCGATATTTATTGATTATTTTATCCATATTTATCGATTTTGTTATCGATATTTGTCGATTATGTTATCGGTATTTTCGATTTTGTTATCGATAGTTATCGGCTTTGTTATTGATATTTATCGATATTTATCGATTATGTTATCATTTTTATCGATTTGGTATCGATATTTATCGATTTTGTTATCGATATCTATCAAAAAAGGTTAAAGAATAAACCTTGGAAAAAGACCAATACAAGAATGAAAGTAAAAGTGAGTACGTACATAGATAAAGAAAAAAGATAAGTCAAAGGTAAAAATAAAAACAACAACAAAGATGAGTAAATATAAAGGTAATAATGAAGACCTAGGTAAATTTAAACATTTTACTTATATATATAAGGGCAAAGGTGAAGGGGAATATGTAGATGAAGAAAATGATAAACATAAAAGTAAAAACAAAGATGAGGATAAGGATACCGATAAAAGTAAAGACGAAGATAGGGGAAGAAAGATTAAAATAAAGGTAACTAAAGAGGAAATGATATAGAGAGAGACACATAGACTCAATCTGGGCACTTTTTTCCGATTTTAGATGTTTTCGGGATTCTCGAGACTTATCGATAACATAATCGATATTTTTATCGGTTCTGTTATCGATATTTTTATCGATTTTGTTATCGAAATTTTTATCGATATTGTTATTAATTATGCTATCGATATTTTCGGAACTTATCGATATAATAATCGATATTTTTATCGATTTGGTAGTCGATATTTTTATCGATTTGTTATCGATTTTGCAATCGATATTTTTAACTATTTTGTAAGCAATATTTTTTATCGATTTTGATATTGATATTTATCGATTTTTTTATCGATATTTAATGATTATGTTATCCATATTTATCGATTTTGTTATCGATATTTGTCGATTATGTTATCGGTATTTTCGATTTTGTTATCGATAGTTATCGGCTTTGTTGTCGATATTTATCGATTATGTTATAATTTTTATCGATTTTCTTATCGATATTTATCGATTTTGTTACCGGTATTGATCGATTTTGTTATTGATATTTATCGATTTTGTTATCCATATCTATCAACTTTGTTATCGATATTTTCATCGATTTTCTAATCGATTTTGCTACCAGTGGTATTATCGATGTCGCATTGAAATTTTTATCAAATTTGTCATCGATTTTGTTATCGATATTTTGTTGGACGTTATTATCGATTTTGTTATCGATAGAGTATAAAAACAAAAAATTAAGATAATGGAAAAACAGAATAACATAAATGTAATTAAATCGAACAGGGGTATAGGTAGAGGGATGTAGATGGAAAAAAGAGAAAAAATATAACCTTAAGCAAAAGCAGATGTGTGCATGTACATATATATTAGTTATGGGACAAAATAGATAAGTAATGTAAGTTTCACTTCTCCAGTGTGGCCCAGGTGCGCTTACTTTTTTTTTTTAACAAATATATATCTGAGGGAAAATGAAAATGTAGAGATCAGAACAATTATATACTCTGCCTGTGCCGGACACATATCCGAATCTACTACGAACCAATACAATTTTTACTCCGCCATCCTTACATACATGAATATAAAAAGGGCATATCTGAACCCGTAGCAAGAACGTAACATTTTATCAAGTTTTGCCCTCAAACTCTTTATTCACACAATACTAAAAATTTTAAACCAAATGGTCCAAACCTTACACCAGGGTTAATGTGATATCCACCGTATTTTTCTTAATTTCATTAAAATATTATGAAAATTTATATTTCCGTCATAACTTTGGATAAAACTCGGAAGTAAAAGAACTCTATAACTTCGTCATTGGAGTGTGCCATTAAATAGCCACATTAACAACTGTGCCATTCGGCTCGTGGCTGGAAACACAATCTCTTAGGTTTGGATATGAAGTTACCAGTGCGTGACAGTACACAGTTTACTAATTATATACTTATATATTTATGTATATATGTACATATATACTAGGGATGCCAATCCCGCGATACCGGGATCCCGGTATTTTTCAAGGTTCCGAAAAATTTAAAATATCGAACTAATAATTTATGAATTTGAAGTATGATTTCTGACAAATGCCATTTTGAAACTGTACTTTTAAAATTGCAGCCGGAGTCGGATCCGAATCTGAGGTCCGCTTGACTCGTTCACCCTCAAAATTTCGAGTAAATTGCGCAATAATGGCAAAAAATTCGCCATTTACCATTTCTTTACGGAGTAGAATAAACATGTTGATTTTGCACATATATTTTTGTTTAATGATTTTTTTTATTATCTCAGTTATTGAATTTTTAATCATATTTATAAAAGTTACGTCTCAATGTGAGTGCCGGGATTACATAAAAAATATCCCGAAATCACGATATCACAATTTTCCGCATATTTTGGCATCCCTAATACATATGTACATACCAGGGTTGTTGCGAGTATTCGCATTCGCATTCGCAACCGCGGAGCTTGCGCATTAATTTTAACATTCGTATTCGCTTTCGCATTCGAAAAATTAATGCGGATCTTTTGCGATGCGAATATTGAAGGGACCGAAAATTACAGTTATTTTTTACGAGTTAAACTTGGCCAAGTATTTTCTATTCCGAAATAAAAGTACTTTCCGGATAATAAACAAACCGCTTATCCAAATGAAACAAGTTTGGTATCCAACGAAACAGGACTTGAATAGCTTTAAAACAGAAATGTCTAAAAGAGGAAAGCCTCACATTGAAAAATATTTCAATAAAAAATGTTTATTAATTACCATAGAACAAATATTGGGTCAGGTATGTATTTACATGAATTTCTTTAGTATTAAGCTATAAAAAAATTTAAATAGAGGTGGTGTTTAAAAGCTATTTCAGTCCTCTTTCATATGATACCAAATTTGCTTAATTTGGATTCTTTATTATCCGGATAGGACGTTTATTTCGGAATAAAAAATATTAGGCAAAATTTAACTTGGAAAAAAGAACTGTTATTTTCGGTCCCTGGAATATTGTGCAAGTGCACAGACATATATTTAACCAGTCACATAAGAAAGCATTAAAAATGATTTATAAAAACTAAAATCGAAAAACGCTGATGACGTGACAAATTCCGAAACAACCAAAAGAGTGAGAATGAAGAATTCTTTCGAAAAAAACGGTGCTTAAACAGCGATTGTGCCATGATGCTAGATTATGAAGATGAAAGTCAGGAGGATACATCCGACATTTGCAGCCCCGATGAAATTCTCAAAAAGTAATTATTGCACCGCAATAAAAATAAATAACAATAACTGAAAGTCCTCTCAACTGGTGCAGTGTCAATCGAAAAGAATTTACAATTTTGCCAAGTTTCAAGCTTTTCAAGTTTTTCGCCTCGAGCGAGTTGTTATATAGTGGCGCAGGTTCGATTTACGACCCTTCAAAAAGTTTTTATTAAGTACAATGTTCCAATTTTTAAATTCAAGTACTAAAACAACATTCAGTCTTATCATGAGTTTAATTTTCCCCGAAGCGGTTCACTTTTCACTTTTGGTTTTCATGTACTTACTTACTATGGGCGGAATAAAAATTTTCGGGTGAATTTTTTTGTCGGGCAAAACTCAGGATAAGGCAGATTATTAAAAATTATTAACCTTTCCATTTTGTATTTACCTAAATAACCTAATCTACCTGCCTAAAT